CCAAGGCGGCTGCCTTTCCAAACGAAATTGCAGCACTAAGAAAATTTGACCCGGTAAGATGTAGAATGGAAGTAAACTGGTATTTCATGCATCATCAACACCATTTGAATGCTGCTCTCATGAAACTCCCCTCCACTGTATGACGCTACTCGTCGGCTGTTCATGTCTTACGTTATCGAGGATTATGTTCAGATTAAGCTTGCTTTATAATATTCATTTTCGCAAGTTGCCTTTTGTTAGACCTATATTCCTGTCAGTGTAACAGTATACTGTTTGAAGCCCACTCTCGGAGTCTGGAAGGCTCTTACTGACTTAGAATAGGAGATCCAGGTATGGACAATGAGTTAAAATTGGCGCAAAACTGTTATTTGGTTTAATTCCCCTTGTGTTTACATGCTCATATAAAATAGAATCTTTAAGCAAATGAACATACAGATCTAGATCAGATCGGGGTTTGCAATTACTGAAAAAGGCAACTAATGCTATGAAGACAGTTTGTACAAAACTGGCCAAGGAAATGTTTTTCACAGACGAATAATGATGTTTTAAAAGATATCAGTTACCATCCTATCATAGGCCATATATGTTGTAGTTCAATTTCTCTGCTCTACAAGTGCCTGGTTTGCGACTTTTGTTCCCAGATGAAGAATTTAACACTTCTGTAACAGAATGGTTTGCTCTTTCATACCTTACCTGAGCTTGATATTGGTTTTGGTGTTGCTGCCAACTGTGGCGATGGTTTAAGGAGTAAATAAATAATAAAAACGACAACTTCAAGAATGAAAACTCTTACTCAGATAGTATTGTTGCTAGTAGGTAATTGACAATTGTATGTGATGAATACCATACTGTCAATTTATACATCCTATAGCCTAACATGTTGTTTGTTTTATCGTTGATATTAAGTTATTTAAGGCGAGGGTACAAATGTCTGGACTCGCGAATTATCCTGAATGCAAGGTTGGGCTTTAAAGTCTTAACTTTAACTTAACGGTTGTGATGTGGTAATTAAAGAGAATATTTCTATTTTCCCCTTTGTACGCTCATTAGCAAAACAGTGGTTATGCACCTGTAAACCAAAGAAAACTGCTTGATAATTACCTCAAATGTATCACCACGAGATCTTCCTAAATAGTCTATAGAGTAAGCATCTCCATCCTGAATACAGCCAGTGAAACTGCTTCTCTAGGCAGTACCCAGTGCTTCTTCTCTGAAGCCAGCAGATTGTTCATATTTCGTTCGTATATCACGTTGCGACTGAAAGCTGATGTGTTCACTTTACTAGGTAAGTGAGAGCAGTGACCTACAGCAAGGTCACTACATAGCGAAGCAAAAGATTTGAATTAGTTTTACTTATTCCTTACAACTATGTTCTTTTCATTGTAAAGTGAAGACGATTTGGAAAAAGAAATGGACCTAAATATACACATTACGTAATTACGTACGTTACTCGTATCTTGTGCAGTGGGCGTGGTTTAAACTGAAGTGGTATCACAGTTACAAACCGGGCACTGCATGTACTGTACGGAGATGCGATCCTTGTTATTTGAATGACGAGGTGATCAATCAAATATTTGCACCATCCTGAGGGTCTATTGGAACAGTGCAAACATATTTTACCTGAAAATAGTTGCAGAACGATCCTTCCAAATAGTCTACAGAGTATGCATCTCCATCCTGAATACAGCCCCGTACTGCTTCTTTGAAGCCAGCCAAGATATCAGTCATCCTGTACACACACAATGCTGAGTGACTGGTGGGTACACCACTGGTATCCGGAGCTCCTTGGTTCTTAGCAAACACAGTATACAGTACCTTTTCGTCTACATGAAGACCCAGTGAAGCCGCTAGATCTGGTCCTGCTGGTCCAAAGTGAGCTGCTTGCACCAAGCTGTACACACTACCATCTGATCCACTGCACTGGATAGTGATCTCTGTGAATCCATCCAAATTTGGGCCCGTCTGACAAACCCTGCTCAACTTTGAAATATAAGTGGCAAAATTCAAATCTTCTTCCTGGGTGGCAACAAGGTACGTGAATCCACTGTAGTCAAATCCTTTAATATAGTTTATGATAAACCTGCCGCCGAAGCTTCTGAGAGCGACTGTATCTTCATTCGCTGAATATGATAAAAAGCGACCGCGCCCAAGCTGTCTTCGTGTTATCGTCCATGAAAAAATATTACCAACATTCATGCCAGTGTAAGTAACAGCAACATAAAGTGTTTCTTCTCCACTTCTTCCCGGAGCAATCAAACTAACAGTAGTTGCATCCTCAAATCCTGCAACGTAAGGACGCGATTCACCCATTACATCGTTTATATGCTGTAACGGTCGTAACTGACAAGTGCCATCAAACACACCACCGCAGGTTATCAGACTGTTTGGCCGAGTACTGTCAACTACCAGTATTTTGTTGTAGTTATTTGTACGACGACATGGCATCCCATTGTAAGGCATACTGTCATCACACGTTGAAGCATTCTGTATCTGTTCTAACCTACTATTCAACCTGTACAACCAATTGACAGCTCCAACATAGACATCACCATGATCACTCAAGGTGAAATGGTTGAACGTTTGGGCACGAGGTACATCTTCTTGATCAGGATTATTGAAGCTGGCTAGCTCATAGGCTGACAGATGTCCTTGCCACTCTGCTGAAATCATACAAACATTAAAATAAATGACGTTCATATACAGAACGATATCACGCAAGAGGACAGCGTGATTCGGTCTCTCGTGTCCCATAATGCTCTGACTAAGCTTATCAAATGAATATTTTCCTACCCAAAACGAAATTACAGCACTAACCGATGTTCCAGTGACTGACGGTATTATTTAATGAAAAAATCAGCCAAGTGAGTGCAAAAATGCTTTTTTGTGATGGAAACAGACATATTTTGTTTGCCATCAGATTGCTAAGAAGTGTTAGTCCTCTCAACCTCTCCCTATATTCATGAAGAGTAGCCGACTCTCCCTGTTTGCACTCTACGCATGCATTAAGATCCGGGGTGCCCAGATAGCTCTGCCATAGCCCCTACGCTAGTATCTGCAAAGTGTGTGTTCTCTCCAACACGGCGCGTAAAATGACCCGTCAATATTCCTGTCCAAGCAGATTGGCGAACTCAGTTGAGAAATGTGATGCAGAATCGTCGCGTAAAAGGAAACGATTTCACTACCACTCCCTTGCCTCACAGCTGGTGCAATATGGTGTGACGATAACAAGCACAGGTTGACAACCACATTTGAATACTGTCCTTTGAATGACACCACTGCGGAAATTACAAGATTGCTAGGTTACGAAAAACATGGGGTAAAAAGGGTTCTTCATGGACGAACGATTCTGTTCTGTAAGGATGCCGTACTTGAAGTGCACAGCGGGCAACTACTGGTACATGAACTTGTGCACATACATACATTTCTGTGTTGTGTACACTTATATGGCTTTCGTTTCCGGGTGGAAATGTTTGTATTAGGTCACTTTATCACAAAATAACAATGGAACAAGACAAACTAACTGCCATTTGAGAGCTTTGAGGAAAAACAGTAATCATTCAAAATGGATCAAGAAGTAAATGATCGTAGAGCCGTTTCAAGGGTAGGGGGTCACATACTCACCGGGGGTTTCCGTGTAGACTGTACTACACAATCGCCATGGATTATGGCTACACAGAGGGTGGAAATGGGTGCTACTGACAACAAAATATACCCATGCTCTCTGCGTCCCTCTAAAACTCGAACTCCACGGCCAACCCATAGTCTTCGACCGTCTCTTATACTGTCTAGTTTGTACATGTATTCATACACAAAGAGTTACTCACCAAATAAATTATAGTACAAGTAACGTGAGCTTCAATTAACACGTCACCAAAATATCACATAATACAAGGGGTTATTATTGTACATGACAATAATTTTGATGCATTCAGTCAGTTGTCTACACTAGTGTAACACTCCGACGGTCTACGGGTTGCACGCGGAGGCAAGAAAGCACACTGGACTCAGAACTTCTGTTTTCGAGGGGAAAACCCGTTTTTTTCGGCATCCAATCAAAACTCGCCCGTCCAAAGACTCACAACAAAACCGAACTCGAGGCCGCCAAAAAAAAGCCTCACTGCGCTGGCGCGGCGGGGTCCCCCGGTTGGTCCAGCAAGGGCGCCGCCGTAGAGTCAGACGGGCGCCCCCACCCGACCGGCCGGCCCCCGGCGCCACAATAACCTTTGGACTTATTTTCCTGGTGGAGGTCTACCAAGTACAACCAGTCCTTATGCGCGGGAAGCACAAAGGTCACCAAGTAGCAATTACTTGACATACAAACATATAAATAACCCAGATACAATGTAGATCAGCTGCACAATATGCATATTCATGTTTAGAATTAAAACAGTGAGGTCGCCCTTGCTAAGGCACGGTCTCCTACAAAAATATGCCAAAAGGATTTAATTTCTTCATGATGGCTTCTTCGGCCTCAAACGTATCTTTCACATTAAAGGGTGTTGAGGAGATCAATACAAAGTGTTAGACTGCATTGAAGCACCCACACGAAAGGCAAATTGAAAATGATGTAGGGAAAGAATGCCACTTTTCCCCGAAAACGTTGATCGTTTTGTTTTTCAAATGGTTCCGTTGAAGAGGGACTTCGGACCAATCGTCCGTGACAATGCAATTCTTATATGACTGTCTTGAAGAATTGATTAAAAGTTCTGGTAAATCATTAGCAGATCGGAAAAAAAATTTGAGTCCTTTTTATTGTGCATTATTTCTAGGAGACAGGCGCCTTATTACAAGATGCCCAAACCTGTTCGGGCTGGAAGAGATCATTAAGTGCTTGGATTTGACCAATCATTTATATGACATTAATGTGCAAGAGCTGATCGTTATCAGCATCCTATGCGATGGATGCACGATGATTTTGAAATTTTGCAATATCAAAGTCAAGCGATTGTGCGCATTTGTTTGTATGCACTGCCGTACAGTAGGCTAAGGTACAGTAGTTCACAATACTAGCTAAGTGAAAGTAGTATGTTCCAAATAAGCAAAGTCACCACATGACATTCGAGGTATTTTTCGTTTCTTTCCAGAACTGTTGGAATAAGGAAGTTCCTTTTCACTGCAAATTCAGACGATTTGAAAAAAAAGGAAATTGGACTTAAATACACATACTACGTAATGTTTTCATTGCGTACGTTAAATTTTGTTTACTGATAAATTAAATCAATGAATGTTTGTATTAACAGTATGTATTGAGGGAAAATATGTGAAATAATATAGTGAGAAAGCGTATCTATTTTCACAGTATTGGTCTACTACAACAAATATCACAACTGACTAGTTTTTTGTCTGATGTAATGCGAAGACGAATCCAGAATAAAATTTTCTGGGATTAAGCTTCTTTTTTTGGGGGGGGTGTCTTAAATTTGGACAATTTTCATGTAACCCTTGACCCCCTGACAGATAGGTCTACATTTTGGGACTTTTTACACGTTTATTTCAAAGAGGGGCAACAAAATAAACCAACCCTATTACCGTCCCTCTCTTGGTGCAATGGTAGCAGTTTCAAAATTTGCAATTCTTGTCATCAATAGTTCTAATGCACTCTTTTCTTAAGCGTCTGTTTGCTTGTCTGTAAATGTGGAGGTTCACGGCATTGTTGTTATACAAAGCGTACTACATCTGCTTGAATATTTTCCAAACAAGACACTCGCTGTTATTACCAGCTGACACTACAAGGTGTCATAGGCTGTGGTAGTCTAAAGCGGACAAGTAAACGTCGTCTGTGCGTGTGCAGGCGTGGCATTTATAGTGTGGACCTCTGCACAAAAGAAGCCAACAGGTTACTCACATGTCGTCTAAATACATAGATATACAGCAAGCTAATACGTGCTGATGTTGACAGTACTTGCAAAGTAAAAGCACCACAGCTCACTCACAACATTATCCTAAAACAACCTATTCGAGTTCATTATTTCTTTCCTTACAACTAGAATAAGGAAACTGGAATTGTAAAGTTAAGACGATTTGAAAATGGAAATGAAACCTGCTTTCATTGCCCAAATTTCTTTCATGATAAATTAAACCAATCTATGTTTGCATTAATGGAGGCACTTGATAAAGTGCATTTATCTCTAAAGTAGCTAGTTAGTAATATCCTTTATAAATCATGGAGTGCATTCCTGGTTGGATCGGTTTGGCAGGAAAACCTATTCACATATAATATTTAAAGTTTGGTTTATTTCTTATCAATCACATTATGCATGTGTAGTAGTAAACAGTCTCCTTGTATGGAGATTCACTTGTGCGTGGCACATATTACGATGCGTGCGTGGACGCAGAACGTGATGAACCATTGGCGAGGGACATTACCATCATTAATTCCCCTGAACTGCGCGAAGTACAATCTTATATATTTATAAATAATTTCTGAGTCAGAAAATTTTTTTAAAAAGGCCAACATTTGTGATGAATCAGTTAATTCAGTTCTGTAAAGAGACTTCTCCAGCCATGTGTGCATGGCGCGAGCCAATCATCCCCCTTTGAATGAGCAATATTAGTTGGGAGGATTCGTTTAGTTGGGAGCTATGCGACAGTAATGAGTGCCTGTCATAATTATTTGTGAACCAGCGAAGATTATTTTCGACCAAAAGGAGCCGCCGTTGCTAAAGAAATTGCGCCCTTTCTTGGTCAGGCTCCAGGCTGATTATACATGCATGCTTTCAGTGGTTAAACTTTGTGTTTTATTCTCAATCTGTCCCCAATGGACCCATGCAGTGTAGCCAATTTTCCCAGTTTCCATTCCACGCCGGCATAGAGATTTTGGGACACCGGGCAATCACTTTGTAGCACCGACGATGATATCTGCTGCTGTGTGTCTTCTGTCCTACAGGGCGTGTTAATGATAGGTGAATATTCCTGTCAGAGCGTAGCGGCGCGCGTAGTTGAGAAATGTGATGCATTGAGTGAAAGGAGGTTATTTCACTGCACTTCCTTGCCTCATAGCTGCTGCAATATAGTGTGACGATAACACGCATGAGGTACAAAAGGTTCTTCATGGGTGCACGGTCATGTTCTGTAAGGGTACTCGTTGTTTGAAGTGCATAGCCGACGTAAATTCTGTGTGTTCCTTTGGGGTTTCCGTTTCTGGGTGGAAAATGCGCACAATTTTGTGTTAGGCTGGTTTATTTGAAAGTGTCAACACACAAAAGATCTGGCATTATTCAAAGGCCGAACCAAGAAGTAAATAATCGTCAAGCTATTTTTTTGGCGAAGGGGTTTTAATAAGAATAGGTCATAAGGCTGTCTTGCCTTCATGGTGTCCTGTCCGACTTCCAACTTATCTTTCATGCTCATGGGTGATGAAAAGGTCAGTATGATACTCTGGACTGCACTGGAGCACTCGTGAAAGGCTACCATCAAAATGATTTGGGATAGAATGCCCCTTTTATCTACGTGTGATTAAAACTGGGTTCTTTGAAAGAGACTTTGGATCAATCATCTACGATAAGATATAATTGTCGTGAGGAATTTAATGAAAGTGCTGACAAATCAAAAGATCGCAAAAGGTGTTCAGTCCCTTTTTTTCGTATTATTAACAAAAAAAAATCCGTTCCAAGATGCGTACATCTGCTAAGGCTGGACTGAGATCATTAAGTGCTTGGACTTGACCAAAGGTTCGAATGAAGTCCATGTGCAAAATCTAATTACGTACCATTATCAGCATCTAACTACGGTGGACGAGAGATAATTTGGCCACCACTGAGTCAGCAGATTACTCATATTTTGTTCTAACACTTTGCGACAGTAAGCTGATAAGTTCACATTGCTAGGTCAGTGAGAGCAGCATGGCAAGGTCACCACGTAGCGAAGCAAAAGATGTGAATTAGTTCCTTTGTTCCTTAAAATTAGAACAAGGAAGTTCCTTTTCATAGTAAAGTGAAGACGACTGAAAAAGAAAGGGGACCTAAATATACACATTACGTTACGTTTTCCTTGCCTTTATTTGTTTCCTGATAAATTAAATCAATATACGGCTGCATTAAAATGTCGTTTTAAAGAAAAAATAAAATAATTTACGGTACTTATAGTGGCATAGTTTATGTACAGTAAGTCCAAAATACTTATGTTGTTTATTTATCTCCTAAATATCAACGAGCACATTCCTGGTTGGCTCAGTTCGGCTCGTCTGAAGACCTATATTTACACACAACTTGGAATGTTGTATCTTGGAGGACGGACACAGAAGGAGTTTGAACTGCCTGGGCTATAACATCTGGCCGATTACCACTTTCTGGCATTCCCGGTATGTCCATAGCCAGCGCGCAGCGCACGCCTGCTACCCACCACCTGTTTTGCAACCACAAGCTCCCTTTGTACCCCATGATCGTCGCCACAATTTTTCGTTGGTAATCTGCATCCCTAAAACGTTGTGTACTGCAGTATAGGAAGTTGAATATTCATGCCATCGTTGGCGCTTGATATGATCCGCAACATCAAGTGAAGTGTTTGCACAGTTGCTTTTATTAGGCTGTATACCCGAAGTGTTCATGTGCAGTTGTTGCCCTTATCGAACGCTTTCTTCTGGACTTCTTTTAGGAAATATAAAGCCAAGCTGTTTGTAAGATTTTGTGTTTTGTTTGAATCATTTTTATTATGGCATTTGTACAAAGGCGTATTTTATGAGATTTCACGATCACTCCTTGTGATGAAATAGTGCATTTTGTTGCTAATGAACTAAGCCTTCCAGTAGTAGTGAACATTTTGTTGGCCAGTTTTAGCCAAATTCGTACCAAGTCTTTGACACTGATGTATATTGGACGGAGGAGACTAGATTTACAAACTTTGTATGGATAATGAAACAGTGTGTCAAAATTTTAAAAGTTTATTTATGATACCAAAAGTAGGTCTAATCTCAGGAATTTTTCTCTCTCTGTTTCTTGGTCACATCGATAGTTTGTATTTACTTGCAAGCTAAAAACTACAAGTATTGCCAAGGTATTAGTATATTACTGGCCCCACTTGTCCAGCTAAGATGCAGGCAGCAATAAGGCATTTTTGGAATGTTTTCTATTATTCATCAGACTTGGCGGCGACC